AAGGCAAGCGAAATCAACAATGTATCCAGTGAGTTATTTTCCCACGCTTTATCTGCATGATGATCTCGTGGTTGACCTGCCCGGGTGACCTGCTATGCACACTATAGAACAGTAACATTTTTCATTGTCTGTAACGAAAATTAGTTGTCTGCCTGGGAAAATGAGAGACAGAATAAGGTTGGGGCGTTTATTTTTTGTTTCTTGTACATTTTATATTTTGAGCAGGCGTGTGGAAATTTTTGCATAATTAGACATCAAAAGTAACGAATACAATGTCGCGTTCCCGCGTGGTGATTCATAATATGGGGTGAGAATACCGCCAAAATTAGCTTGGTGTCATTATTTGAACATTGTTTAGTCTTTATTTGGAAATTTGTTTGATTATTATTTGGCAATTATTCGGTCTTTATTTAAACTTTATTTTGCGCTTATTCCATTATTGTGTTATTACTGCAGCATCGTATTGCTATTGTTTCATTATTTCAACTTTATTTCTCAATTATTTCATTATTGTGTAATTGCTACAATATTATTTTGTCATTGTTTCATTATGTTACAATTGTGTCGTTATTTAGATATTATCTTGACATTCAATCGTCATAAGATTCGGTTATTTCCACGTCCAATGTATTGATATTCGGTTCGGTTCGCTTGACTTGACTTGCGATTACCTCAACATTCGATTACCTGACCTACATTAGCTAACCCCGCTATACATGTAGTATTCAATCCATAGTCCCGGGCCGCCTCCGATAAAGCATTGCTCAAGATGGCAATGCGGCCTTTGTAAAAGTTAGCGGTAATTTTTAAATAATGGTCGTTTCATCAACATCCAGGGAACTGACTGAGGTCGTCAGAGTCTGTCGTGACGAAATATCAAATGCCGCAAAACTTGATGTTGACACGACGCGCTCCTAGCGAAATTCGCGAGAGATGATCCGACTTGATCATCAGATGATGACCAGAATGTGTCAAGAACCAATCACAAGACTGGTTACAGTGTCGTAAACTCGCGAAATTTGAAAGAGCAACTAATATTCTTCAAGCTGTTTTTTTTTATAGATTTTATTTTTCATTCTTTTCGCCTGTTTTTCCAGTTTAAAAATGTGAGCTGACTGGAGCATTCATCCCTTCTATTTCTTACACTAGATACCAGACCCCCCCCCGCGCTCATATGAACCGCGTACAGTGTATTATAGTTCTTTGGCTCCCTGTGGTCTAAGCTGTAAAAAGTGAAATTAACAATTCGTTCCTGATGACGAGGCAGCTTGTTGGAACTGGCGCCGACATTACAAATGGATTACAATTATGCAGGACTGTTACATTGTGATAACGAGGTCGCGTTTCCATGCAACTACGAACGTCGCCTGGGGACGTTCACACCCATCGGAGCAGAGAAAACTAGAGCTGTGAAACTGCTTTTATTTTCTTCGCGGTACAGATTACAGTTTTCTTTTGACAAAACTAACAGGAGTTCCAACTGTTCCATTCTAGTCAAAGACACTAATGCGTAAACTAGCTTTTTATCGGATATATATATATATATATATACTGTAAAATACTTTATTTTCGCTTGGAATTA